AGCAGCGGAGGGTGAAGAGGCGGCTGACGCTCGCTGCCCTCCTCTACCTGCTCTTCATGACCGGCGAGCTCGTGGGTGAGTCGGGGCTTTCTCTGCCGGCTCTCCGGCCCGGGTCCCTGCCGTTGCACCGCTCCGGCCTCGCGTTTAAGTGTGTACTGGGAGAAACCGTCTGTCACTCGGAGAGACCGGAGAGATGTAGCTGCAGGGGCAGGGGGTGAGGAGCAAGGTCCACCTGTGTTTGCCGTACAAGAGAAGAAAGGAATTTGCGACTTCCCTTACCTGAATCTCATCAGTCCCCCGCGTGGCATAAACCAGGCGGTTTTTGATATGTCTGATGTTAGGGTTAGGGTTTTTGGTATGTCTGATGGCTTTTTATTTCTCCTTGTGAGGTCCTCGTGTAAGTTGGTAAGGTGTTTTAGGCAAGGGAGAAGCAGCGTTTTATTACGGGTTTAATTAAATAGGTTAAACGGCTTCATCCTCAGTACTTATTAATCACTGCCATAAAATCTTGCTGTGTTTGCAACCGTTTCCGAGCATGACGTTTCCCACAACACCACCACTAATGTTGGCGGGTGTTTGCCCTTATTCACCAGAGACAGCAATACATGCTGCTCCGTACAGCTGAAGGGACGGATCCTGAGCTATCCGCATCAACCCAGTGAAGAAGTCACTCTTGACAACTCCCTGATGTCCTGCTCTGGACTAGCTTATGCTCCAGCCAGCCAGAAATCATATGCGCAAAGTCAGTTGAAATCATAGGTATTTGAATACTTCCCATCACAACACAGAGAATACCAAGGGGTTTGATTGAATTCTTTTGTTTTCTGTGTGTTAGTACCTGGCAGAAGTATGGTGGGTTTTTCCCTGGAAATTGGTAGCCCTATAAGCATGTTGATGGTCAGAAGGATGAGTCTGGTGCTCAAGAGCGGCTTTTGCTTTACATAAAAGCGTGCTGTCGTTTGCTGTGTAGGTTGAAGAGGCTGTACAGAATGACTGTGCTTTATTTAGTGGGCTACAGCAGCATAGGCTTGGAATAAAATTACATTTAAAGGTCCCTTGGATGCACAGAGGAGCTGTTAAATGTTACGCCTTCACCATTATCTAATAATTTTTACAAAGGATAGGTAGTATTTATCTTTTAATCTCTGTCCATGCATAAACCTCAGTGTCCCGTTACCGTTTTGGGTGGTGCCCGTCGGTGTAAGCATCCGCTTGGTGCTCCTCAGGCTCGGGAAGGATGCTCGAACTCTCATCCACCTTCCCCCGATCTGAAACCGAGGGGAGCGTTACACGGTGCCCACGCATTATGCGCGCACTCAGCCAGGTCTCTCTAGCAACTGTAACAATTAATTCCTTTTAAATTGCTTTCATTCTAACATAGGAGTCTAAATCAGAGCTAAGCAGATGAATTAATTGGCCATAATTCATGGGGGGAAAAAAGTCAAGTCACAAAAACTTTCAGGAAGTAAGGAACAGATGCCTCGGGTGCCCTGGCATGGGGGGTACATGCTCCCCCCCTCACCCTGTGCAGATGAGGTCAAATAGGACCCGAGCTCATCCCTTGGATCGCTTGTCCTGGGACTGTTGTGAATTCTGTCTGTAAGACAGAAGCTTCTACAAGAAGGGTACGCTGGAATATAAATAATAGCGTTTGTCCCACGTACACAGAAAAAAATCCCTAGGACAAGTGGTCCGTTTTTCAGAGAGAGACCAGCATACTGACTGCATCTGCACCAGTTTCATTTGGGGCCTTATGTCAGGAATGTGGGTTAATGGAGAACGTGGCTTTGTCCCTCACTGTCTCTCGGTGTGTGGTTAGTAATTAATAATGCTGCTGCAATCCATCAGCTTATCACGGGTAAGGCACTTCACCGACCTGTGGCAGGGATCTGGTTGAATGCCTCCGTTTGCCCCCAGGCTCTGATTTTTTGTCTGGCTGAGGTGATGGTTCAGCATGAACTCGGGTAAATCTGATGAACAGGGTAGTGTCGGATCTCAGGTGCGGACATCCTCTAGCATGAGAGGGATGTTATTTGGTTGTATTCATAGCAGAGTTCTGATAGATGCTGAATTTACTTCATCGGAAGGGCCCCTGACTTACCTGTGCTGTTACCGGCCCCGTTTCATTATCAGGGCACTGAGGCAGACAGCACGAAGGGCCAGACCCATGAAATACTGAGGCATCCGGCTTCCACAGAGAATAAATAGGGGACTTGGGTGAATCTACTTTCGTGGATCTTGACCTGAGTGACTTGTCACAGGGCAAGTAACCAGCAGCACAACGAGTAATTAAAGATGGAGCCCTCAAGTCCTGGGTCAGTGCCTGTTTAATTTATCGCACTCCAGCCCCCTACTGTGTTCTGTCTGGTTGGTTTTGAATTTTGGAACTTGTAAAATTGATCTGTAGCTCGGGTCTTTGGGAAACCTTGTTTGATCATATAGGGCATTTTAGCGGACTTCCTCCTGGGATCTTTGACGGATTTGAGTTTCTGAGAAAAAGGCAGAGAAGCCCATCAGGCAATTAATTTGTTCAGTAGAATTCTTTTTGCTGTCTGTTGCTGATGCCAAGATGAAGGAAATCTTGTTTCAGCAGCTTTTTTCTGAAATCTTGATTGGCATATCTTTTTCCCCAAGTACGGCCAAGCTTGTTACCACATCCCACCTCGCTGTTTGTTGTTTAATTTGCTGAACAGTCATTGTAAAAGTCAGACAACTACTTAACACTCTGCAGGGACCGTATTGCATCAAGAAGCGAAAAAGATGTTGCGAGTCCCAGTTAGCTTTTCCGCCAGGGTTTTGATATTTTTAGCTATGTTTAGACATTTCTCATTGATCGCCCAGGAAGAGGAGTGCTGTCCTTCACGGGTCACAGAAAACAGTGGTGAGCCATCAAGCTATTTGTAAAGGTCGTGGACTTCTTTCGTGTTTGAACAACCCTTGGGCACTGCCTTGAACCAGGCAGTGAACCGATACATAGGGAAACAGAGAACCTTTGATTTCAGAACTTCATAAATCTCAATTACGTTTTCTTAATCCACATGCTGCATCACAATTTGCTTCAGTACCCGAATCTTGATCCTTTTATTTTAAAGTCTTTACAAGTTTTAGAGAGGCCAGCTGAAATAGAATGGACTCATCTTGGATGGACGTGATTCGCAAAATTAATACATGTGAATTAACATACATATTCTAAATGTTTATACATGTAAACTACTGAACTGGATGTCCTTAGATAGAAATTTTTTTGTTCGTGCTGACCATAAAAGAGGCTGAGTTGCACATTTCTAAGTCACATTTTTTTTTAAATTGTGTGAGAACACAAACCTACTCAGAAAGAAAAGGCGCAACTCATTTTACGCCAAAGTTGTTGCATTGCTGAGTCTTAAAAACTCACTCTTTTTGAGCTGTGATGGCCTTTGGAAAATGAGAGACTCAGAAAAATTTGACTTATAAACTGGTGAACAACTGAAGAAGAGGGGATGGAGGAAAGGAACCGGTTGGAATGTGGTGTATTTGGTTGTTACCACAGTGTGAGCCATGCTGCTTGTGTTTGGCAGGGGAGGGGGGTGTAGCTCTGTCCGCAGATGTGCACGTACAGACACCCACAGCCAAACACCCCCCCTTTTATGACCAGCCTTGAGAGCAACCAGCCAGTTGTGAATTTGCTGCCTCTCCGTGATCAGCCTCTTCGCTAAGATGGTTTTAATTGTATACGAAGATGCCTTTACTCGAAATGTTAGTTGGAGCCTGCCAAATGGCACGCCAGCTGCATGCTTTGCTCTGAATTTACAGGCTGAATGACAAGCTCAGGGTAAAAAGAGAAACTAAATCTTAGCTGAGCTGACGCTGAAGATGTGATGTTTTCTGCGAAAACAGGCTTACCTGCAGGCATATGGAAGGCAACCTGTGCTGTCCTTGATTCCCCTTCGGATAAGGGAACCTTAAGAGAGAGGCGTATTGTTTCAATCTCTCACCCATCCAATAGCAGCATTAGCAATTGAATTGGAACAAACCCATTAACCTTTGATTGGAGGTTATTTATCTCAATGAAGCTCATAATTACAAGAAAAAAATGAAGGTAATAGATAAGGAAGAAAAACGCTGTGCAAGTCAGAGTCACTGCAGTATTTGTGGGCAGAACTTGCACACCCCTGCCAGGACAGGGAATAGTGAAGGTTAAAAGATAATGTAATAAAAATAAAAAGGGGGCAGGGTGGATTTCCTTGCCACTGAGTCATTGGAATCCTGTCCCTGTTCCGTAATGTCAAAATAGTAACAGATACAGTTTAATAAAAGGATCATCTGGTTAAACACCTATGCAATAAATACAGAGAGAAGATCCAAAACTATTTTGGGTCTGATCTTGCAAACATTGTGATGCCCGTAGTCTGTGAGAACAACAGGAGTGACTCCTTTCTGTGTTACTCTTAACAGAAAGCACGCTTCACGGCACTTGTAACTATGGGAGCTTTAAATTACAGCCTGGCATGTTGATTGCAATGGCAAACCTCCCCCCCGTTTAGTGATTGTAAGAAGGGCACTCATGCACTTAATGCACTGTTCTGAAAATAAATAACTGTAAGCTTTGCCAAGAGGATATTGCCTAGAATCATTAATGGCATACGTCCTGACTTTTCCAACTTTCCTTTGCAGGTGGATATGTTGCTAACAGTCTAGCCATTATGACAGATGCACTTCATATGTTGACTGACCTTAGCGGTATTATTTTGACCCTCCTTGCTCTCTGGCTGTCTGCAAAATCTCCCACAAAGAGGTTCACTTTTGGATTTCATCGCTTGGGTATGTAGATATCAGCTTTTGCTCGAGTATTTTAAGCAACAACTGTACAGAACACCTAATTCTAGAAGAATGGGTAACTAGATAGAAAGTAGCAATAAACCTAAAAGTGGCTGTATGTTTAACACCCTGACTCAAATGTCCCTTCATGGGCCATTGTGGATCCACTTTATAGTTTGTATTGCCACAAGGAAATAGGTGATAATAATAAAAAAAATTACATTTTAAACGGCAGCCAAAAGGGAAGTCTGATGGCAGTTTCGCTCCCTGAGAGCAGGGTGAGTCTGTCCGTCTCTGTGGAACTAGGATTTAGCGGATTCAGTTAAATTCTGAATGCTTGATTCATCCTTCATCTTAAAGAGGAAGGTTAGGGAATTGGATACACAAAGACATTGTAAATACCACTTCCTACAAATGAACCGTGGCCTAAAAGGTTTTCAGAGGGCTCGGAGGAGGGAAGCTGTCCCCAGGAAGAACAAGGGTGGATACGCAGCCGTGTTTCACAGCCCATCTGTGGTTACTGGGCTGTTGTACTGGGTCAGGCCCCTGTGCACCTCTGTGCTTTGGAGCTAAGGCCGTTGAGCAAGAGAGGGATGTGTTCTTGGGTCACTCACTGCTCCACCACTGCTGCTGCTTGAGTGACACGCTGAGGAGCTTGTTGGTGCAGGAGCTCTACATGTCAGTCAGTTGTTCACAACAGATTATTGCCAGCGCCCAGGATTTGCAAAGTCCGTTGGCTTCAGTAGAACTACGACACTGGAAAAAGATTCTATTCGACGTGAAAAATGGTATCTTAATCCAGAATTGAAAAGTTCTGTAGAACATATAATCAGAGCGCTGTGCCCTGCCAGAAGCCACATAAATCAGTATTCCCCTTGCACTCCCCAAACCACGCGAAGGAGAAGTTAAAATGTCCCATGGTTTGCAATATAGTAAGTTACTTAACCTCTGCCCGTTTTAGGTGTCTGTAAAAAGAAGCATAAACAGAATTATGTACTGAACCTTGGAAATGTATTTACAGGGTTCGTTACTTCACGTTTGGAAATGCAGTGATGATAAAGGGCATTTCCACGCGGTTGCTAACTGGATGTAATCATTCATAACATACAGCTGCAGGTCTTGTAGGCATTTTACCAAAAGCTTCAACCTTTATTTTTCATGAAATAGATAATTTCTAGTGTCCCAGTTTGCAGCCTCTGCTAGAGACATTCTATAGCGTTTATTTTTCAAGGAATTTCAGTCTTGCGTAGTTATTATTTACAGTTCTTATTTTGGCTGCTAGAACAGCAGTAGAACTCAACAGCTCCATCACCCCTAGTCATTTGTCATCAGTTAGTCACTAGTGCGTGAATGCCTGACTCTGTACACTGTCAAAGGTCTTCGGGGCTTCAGCAAGAAAGCACTAACGATGCCAGCATTTCCCATTACAAACTTTTCTTTCAAGACGTTTTAATTTCGCGATAGGAGCTTCCCTGATACTGAAACCTGACCTTGCAGGTATGGTATCCCCTAGTACTGAAACACGACCTCGCAGCATTTGCTCATACTCTCCTGAAGGATGTTTGCTGGCATTTATACATGCTTTAACCCTATTTGAACGTAGTTTGAGTAGTTTGTATGTCTTTGTAACTTTGCAAAACCCAAGTAGTACAAACATTGAACATGCCATGCCCTAGCTTAAAACAGGAGTATGTCCTTAAGAAAAAGAAAACTTACTTAACCAGTAGAATCTTACTCAGTTCTGTAAATTTTCACTGACTTTTCAATTAATTGAAGGGCTCCATAGCACTTTGCAAACACAAATCCCTGAGGATTCTTGCCACCTCACTTTCTGTATCTTGTCCCCACCCCAATTTTACTGCCAAGAAAAATACTGGCCAGACTGATGCCGTGGTGGCCCATGGGCCGGATCTGGGCCATAGAATTAGTCCCTATCACCTTCCACCTTCTCCCTGGAGAAGACAGGGAGCAGATTCTCACTTCTGAAACAATTACTGCTTCTTTTCTGCTGCCCAGACCTTCCCCTAGACTCTTCAAGTACAGGAGGTGGGATGGTTCAAAATTACTAATAACAGTGTTTTAAAGTCACATTTGTGAAATTTATCTGCCTGATTTTAGGCACCTCATCGGAACGCCGGGCCCCGAGGGCACAGTTTCACACATCAGTGAATGCTGGCAGTGGAACAAAGCTGCTTCTAGGGTATATCCTCGCTGTAACACATCTTTCCAAATAGCCTGTATGTAAGAAGCTTCTCAGCAAATAATATGAGCTCAACAATAGCCTGAATTTCATGAGAGATGTTAAAACATGACAGAATGTTAAAAATAAGGTACAGACTGAGCATCTGTCACAGAAAAAAAATGTGGAGCATTTGTTTAAAGCTGGGAATATGTGCAAGAAAAATCTCATCACTGACCTGCTTTGCATTAAGTTTTAAGATAATACAATACAGTAAGCATGAAAAGATTCCAATGAACAGTGGTTCTGGTGCTCATTATCACTTCTGTTTGCAGAACGATGAACTTTCAATCTCGTTCCCATAAACGTTGCATTGTAAATACAACAGAGCTATCAGTTGTCTAGTCAAATTTCAGAAGTAAATTAGCACTAGTTTTCATTTATTTGAATTCTCTTTGAATAGATAATATGCGTGCCCCATGTTCAGTTTTATTCCCTTTTCAGTGGTGAAAAGGAAGCTCACAGATTCAGGAATGGGTTAGAAAAGTGAAGACATCGTAATGGAAATTGCAGTCATGTCTAAAAAAGATGATATTCTTGAAGCCAAAAATAGTTCTGTTTCACCACCAAGTGGAGATAGGGCCTTGCTGAGAAGGAGCTGGGCAGATCTAAGCACAGATATGGAACCTGGCATTTTTCCATTGCTGCAGAGACAATGTTAGGAATGACAGAATCAGTCAGTCCACTGAGACGGCACACAGTTCATTTCACGAGAAGTGAAAGATCTCCGCACTGATCTACAGCGCTGACGTGACAATGGCTCTGTAAGGAACTGCAAGGAAAACACTCCCTTCCTTTGCAGAAAACACGCTTTGGGGTTGTAAAACCACAATGTGTTATTTCTCTGGTAAATGCTGATGTGCGAGGGTTTCACAGGTTTTTTTAAAAAGCGTTCTGGAAAACCTTCTAAGCAACGTGTTATTTTTGCAAGGCTGTTGCCCTGAATAATTTGCCTGCTTTGTGAAGAACACGACCGCTTGCATGGATATTTCCAGGATTTTCATGTTGCTCTGCAGTCAGCCGAGATCGTGACAGTTGCCTTTTAGGGCTTTGCCAGGCACTGACACGCTACTGAACAGCTGAAAGCGTTGGTGGGAGTTTCTTCTCCCATGCTGATGTTAAAATGTCAGTGCCTGGATCAAGAGATTTTGGCGACATTAAAATGCTGACATAGCTGTGTGGTTTTTTACTGTAAAATTCAGTAAATAAATTTAGAAATGACACCTTCTGCAGTAACTGAAGTTGTACTACATGCTGGCAGACTCAAAGCAGAGGGGGAAGTGAGGCAGTTCTCAGATCAGTATTCTTAAGGCTGTGGTACATCCAAGAGCAGAATTTTGCCCTTACTGGGGAATAAATCCGGGCAGCGTGTGTGGAACAAAGGGGAAGAATAACCATTACAGTTCCAAGTCAGTTAATTCCAACTCTGATCTTCCAATTCCCACAGGAAGGCGAAGATCCCAGGGATCCATCTGGCAAGTGACAGTAACGAGCATTATGCATAAGGATCGCAGATTGCTCGGGCAGGGCTGCGGACGTACGTGCCGTGCAGCGGAGCTAGCGTGGAGGTTTTCCCAGAGCTTTTTGTAGAGCCCTGTATTAACTTCCTTATAGCTGAGACAGTTTTTTTAACTGGGCGGGTGTTTTCTTTGTCGCTATCTTGCCCTTTATTTTTTCCTCATTTCAGCTGCAACAGGGCAATCATTTTGAATACCTGTATTCTTGGTGGTAGGACCTTAAAACTGTAGCGTGGACTCAGCCTCCTCAGGTTTCTATAGGCTATCACCAGCCCAGTTTCCTGGCGTGGGTACTGAGGCAGACAGCACTGAGGTCCATAAAATATTCAGGCCTATCTAGCTCCCAGCCGAACAAAAGGAACCTTGTAGAGAGCGGGAACCACTTCCCACAGATGTAAATGGCAGCAAGAAGGTGCAGGACAAAGACGTTTTAGTAGTTTTTATTAACTTTCTGATTTTCTCTATTCAGATGTGTGTGCCCGTTTGAAAGTCCCTGCTGATCAGATAAAATTCCTACACCAAAATGTTGCTCGTAACACACATACTTTTGGGAAATACGAGTATTTGGTAAACATTAGATAATGCTAAAACAGTGTATTACAGCAATACATTAGCTTACATTAAGCAATCCTTCCTGGCTGAAATCTGCAGTAAATAACATGTATGTGCACGTATGTCAAAAAGCTTAGGAATAAGTAACATGCCTGACAAGTTTGTACTGTTCAGTTCCTTAATCTTTTTCTATTATCTGCTGCGTCCTAAATACAAAAGGATATATATGAAGTCATGTATAAATCCAGCTTAATACTTGAAATCACTTGAAATCAAGCTTTCTCTTATTTGTAGGTGGGCTGGTGATGTTTGAGATCACCTTATCTTCCTCTCTCCTGGCCAGGGCCTTTCTCTGTCACTTCTCAGGCAAGAGTTCTGGGTGTCTGCAGAAGTCGCAGTCATCGCCTGGGCCGAAGTTGTCAGGGAAAACAGAATTTGAGGGATATACTGACAGGAAGGTGGGAAGGATTAGAACAAACTCCATTTGTTAATCCTATTTTATGAGCTTTATTTACGGCACAACTTGGTAGTTGTACGTTAGGGGTATAGTGCACATAAAATAGTTAAATAATGAAGGCTCAGTCCACATTCTGATTGTGAGATAGAAACAGATCTGAGACTCACTTTTGTGATGTTGTTTCCTTTCCGTTTGCAGAAGTACTGTCAGCCATCATCAGTGTATTGCTGGTCTATATCCTTATGGCATTCCTCTTGTATGAAGCTGTTCAAAGAACTATCCATATGGACTATGAAATAAACGGTGATATCATGCTGATTACAGCAGCCGTCGGTGTTGCCGTTAACTTGATGTAAGATCTCCCTTTCTCTCCATTACACTCATAAATGTATTTCTGATTAAGCTGCTAATTCATTCATGGCCTGTAACTTTAGCAGGGGATGTAATTTTGCTGGACCCCTTCATTTCCATGAATAAGATTACTTTTTCAATTCTTTGGTTTAAAAGTAAATAAAAAGGTAAAAAAAAAAAGGCAGCAAAAAGCACCAAGCCCCTAAGCCTGTTTCTTGGAGTGTTTTTCTTCTTTCGCTTTCAGAATGGGTTTTTTGCTGAATCAATCTGGCCACCTTCACTCCCACTCCCACTCCCACCCTCACGTACCTCAGTCGAACTCTCCTGGCGCAGCCCACAGCAGCAGCCACGGCCACAGCAGCCTGGCCGTGAGAGCAGCATTTGTACATGCCCTTGGGGACCTGGTGCAGAGTATTGGGGTGCTCGTCGCTGCCTACATCATACGCTTCAAGGTGAGGAGCGGCTAGTCTTGGAGGCAGGGCAGAGTTTTTAAAATTTCAGCTCCGGTGATTAAATTGAAAAGGGACTTGGGTTTGTAAGTAATAAAAAAATACTTGGGGATACTCTTGGTGCCTACAAGGAAGCTGGGGGGGACTTTTTACAAGGGCTTGTAGTGACAGGACAAGGGGGAACGGGTTTAAATTGAAAGTGGGGAGGTTTAGATTAGATATCAGGCAGAAGTTCTTCCCGGAGAGGGTGGGGAGGCACTGGGACAGGTTGTCCAGAGAAGCTGTGGATGCCCCATCCCTGGAAGTGTCCAAGGCCAGGCTGGATGAGGCTTGGAGCAACCTGGTCTAGGGGAAGGGGGCCCTGCCCATGGCAGGGGGGGTGGGACTGGAGGATCTTTAAGGTCCCTTCCAACCCATTCTAGGACTCAGAGATTCTAAGCTTCATACGTTCATGCAAAATAAGCAACGACTATTACGTATTTTGTAACTATTGAAACAAAAAGCAACATGAAAGTTGGAGCTGGAAGTAACTGCACATTTGAGTCACGGTTGTATAAGTCAGCTGACTTTCGTACATCCTTTAACACTCTGGAACTTCCCTTGCAGCCAGAATACAAGATTGCTGATCCCATATGTACATACGTATTCTCCATACTAGTGGTTTTGACAACCGTTCGAATTCTGTGTGACACAGGAGTTATTATTCTGGAAGGTAAGACGTGTGCACAGTCAGCTGCGCTTCACGTGTCAAATACCGAGCACTGGCACCTTTTTTGACATTATGATCAGTACCTCTAGCAGAGTGGATTGTGCCTGGAGACACCTTCATCCTGCTGCTGCTTGGGTCCCTTGGTTCTCGATGGCTCAGCTCAGTGGTGGCAGGCTTTAGGTGTCTCTGACCTCTGCCGGATGACGCAGGTCCTCCCTCTGCTCACAGAAACGTACAGAACTTCCTTGCCTGTCTGCAGCGGCTCTCAGCTCACCTAGGGGAACGCTTGCCCCGGCGCAGTTCTACGCTTGAATTACTTGTGGAGTTGAAGTGAATGTGAGTGCGTGTCAGGGGAGGAAGCAAGCTTCTGCTGTTAGTGCGGGGGAAGCTACAGGTAGAGAGTGGTGTAAAAAGGAAGAAGGAAAAAAAGAAAGCAAAAGCTGAACATTGTACCTGTACCTGTTAAACCTGTACTGTTTAACATCTTTG